ACACTGTCTCAAAAAACAGCTGAGCATGATGGCATGTACCTAGAATCCCAGCACTTGGGGAGGCTAAGGCAGGAGGATTATCTCAAATTCAAGGCCAACCTGGACTACATAGTACACTCAAGGTCAGTCTGAACTACATATTGAGACCTGTCTCAAGAACTAAAGCAAAAATAAAATTTTAAAACACATAGGCCATTGTGGTTTTCCTCACAATAGTCCACCCTGTGTTCTCCAGGGTGTACTTACATCTCGCTTTTTCATCTTTTAGTCAGCCCAACTCACTCTGCAGAGCCAGTTTCTCCCTCACTCTTCACTCTTGCTTCTTCAAATAAACTCTTGTCACCGTTAATAATAAAAATTAATTTTAAAAAATTTTTAAATGGGGGTTAGGGATCTAGCTCAATGTAAAAGTCTTGTGTTCAATCAATGTAATATAAATAATTTTAAGGAATATATATTTCTTAATGTATAATCAAATGAGTATCATTAACTAACAGTTATTGAGTGCTATATGCCAAGCATTTGTAAACTCCCCTTTTTTGCATTTTGCCACAAAAACCTTAAGATAAGTAATATTGTTATTTTCATTTTACAATGAGGAAACTTACTCCTGATAATGTGCCACATAACATGAAGTCATATGAGTACACTATTTACAACTTTGAATTGCCTCTCTCTCTCACTCTCACAACCACATCATATTCCTTGGGAATTTACAACCTAAAACTACCTTTTGCCTTTTCCTATTTTACCTTAGCAAAATCATTTCTTCATTTAAAGATCCTCATTTTATGTGAAAAAGTTCTGCGGCAAAATTATCTTGAGGCCAGGTATAGTAGTGCATGCCTGTAATCCCAGCACTCAGGAGGCTGAGAAAAGAAGATTGCCACAAGTTTTAGTCCAGCCTGGACTACAGAACTGAGACCCTGCCTCAAAAAAACAAAACAAAACAACAACAAAAACTATCACCCTATGTCCTTTGTCATCAAAATTAAATAATTTCTATGTATTGATCTCCTATCCTCATATCCCAAATTAACACCTTATTATAACTATGCTTTTATAGTAGCAGCATCTGAAGTATAGACTGCCTGTCAGTCAGGCCAACCCTATCACTCTAAAGGTTTTTGTAGCCACTGAGAAAGAGAAGTTTTTAAACATTTTTAAGTTGATTGAAAAAAATTTTAAGTAAGTCTTCCATGGCCCTTAAAATTATTCAAAACATAGTTCAAGTGCCCAAAAATAAAGTTTCACAGGAACATCGCCCTAATTCATTCATTTACATATCTTCCATAATTTCTACAAAAGCTGAGCTGAATAATCCCAAAAGATACTTCATGGTCCACAAAGCCTAAAATATTTACTATCTGGCCTTTTATCACCAAAAAAGTTTTCTGACTCCTGATTTACAATTTTCAAAAGAACTTCATGGGACTGAGAGTGGGGGTACTGATGTAGCTCAGTGGTACAGCCTGAATAGAAGACCTGTAGCACCAACAAAAAAATAATTCATCTATTTAACTCGATTATTCCTGAGAACAATCCTGAGAGCTACTTGGTATTAATCTGAATTCTAAAAATCAGAAAGGTTTGCAGAAGTTTAAAGGCTTGTCCAAGTTACAGAGTTGCTAAATTCTAGAACTCAGTGTTCTAGCTCCAAATCCAACACATAGCCTACCAAACTACCACTTTTTAAGAACCGAACTTCTCCATATTAATCTATGGATTCAGACATTTGATGCTAAAATTTGCCAGATGGATACAAACATAAAAGCTTTAAATTGGTGGAAGGGCACTAGCACAAGCGCCTTCCTGGCAAGCAGGAGATCATAATAAATTCAATCCCCAGTACCAACAAAAATAAATATCTAGATAGATAGATTGGTGAGAAAATATTTCTCAACTGAGATCCTTTCCAAAAGTATATTAATAGACTACATTACATTTCATATGTATTACAAACTGTATTTTCCCATTGGTTAGCAAAGGAACGCTGCAAAGTAGGTAGGGGTAGGGCTGTCTCTCGTGAGGAATGTACTTATTTTTGTTTTGGGTTTCTTAAAACAAAAGTTAGTAACTCACCCATTTTTAAAATCTATGATGTAATTCAATCAACAGAAAGGATGCTAAGAATTTCCATTCAGTAGCAGCCTGTTTAGCCTGGCTTGGCAGCACAAGCCTATAGTCTCAGCACTTTGGGAGGCTGAGGCAGTGGACCTCAAATTCAAGCAGCATGGACAATCTAGTAATTTAGCAAGGCCCTGTCTCAAATTACAAAACAAGGTTAAAACGGATTTCAGAGGGAAGACCCTGAGTTCAATACCATAGTACCACACATACACACACACACAGACACACACACACACACACAGCCGAGTTCAATCCCAGAGTACCACACACACACACACACACATACACAGCCAGTTCCAAAAAAAAATATACAAGACATTTGGGAAATAAAAAGTGGTGAAAAGAGGTAGCACCAGTTAATATCTTTGCTTTCATTGTCTGAACCCTCCCTCAGGAGATACTAGCTAGTCTCTTCTCATTTAAAGTTACCTCCTTAAAGAATCCTTCCTTAGCTACCTGAGCTATGGAAGCTCCTCCTTCAATATCCCCACTCTCTTTAAAACTTTCTTCATTGTACTTATTTTCCAGACTTATTTATTGACCATCCATCACCTCCACTGTAATCCTTCTTTTTCACCTACTTCTAACATGCTGACACTGGCACACTGTAGGAACTCAATGATTATTTGTTGAACAAATGGCAGAACCTACAAATATCTTGAGTATGTCATACTGTGAATCACTTGGGCTAACAACTTAAGAATAACTCATCAGCACCTTTAAACGTTCTTAGCAAATGAACCACCTATCTTCAAGAGTTTTAAATCTCAAGGGACACATGTGCCCATAATCCCAGCACTCAGGAGGCTACAGCATGAGGATTTCTATGGATTGAAGACCAGCCTATGCTACATATTCAGCATATTTAAGGCCAGCCTGAACTACATAGCAAGATCCTGTTTCAGAAAAACAAAACAAAAAAGTTTTTAATCTTTTGCAAGAAAGCTTCAGACTAAGTCAAAATACCACCACAGTAGGCCCCAAGAAAAATTTAAAAAAAATCACTTGGGATTAGGGCTATGTGGCTCAGTAGTAGAGTACTTCTTTAGCATGTAGGAGGTACTAGAATCCATACCTGGCAGAAAAAAAATATTCTCTGAGAAGCAGTGGACATAATCAGAGCTAAACTATCATCTTATAGGTCTTGGAGCTGAATGAACATACATTTCTCATGCTTATTTCAAAATATCTCCTGCTAGGGATGGTGGCATATAGATAAAAATCCCAGCTCTCAAAAGCTGAGCCAGGAGGAACCGAAGTCAAGCAGAGCCTGGGCAATTTAGTAGCTTAGTGATAGTCTGTCTCAAAATAAAATAAATAAATAAAAGAAAGGCAGGGAGTATAGCTTAGGGCAAAAGCCTTGAGTTCAATCTCCAGTAAAAAAATTAAAGGTAAAAATAAAACAAAACAAAAAAACATTTCCTAGTATTAAAAACAAATTAATGGCCCTATTCTAATTATGCTGAACTAAAAGCTGAGATTTATCAACCAATTGTGTTATGCTAATTTTAATTCCCATTTTTACAAGTAACTAAACAATAACATAACTTAGGTTACAAATGAAAAGCATCTAGAAAGTACTGATTGACACGCATTTTAATTAAGTTGGCTCAAAATACTAGTCTAGATAACAGATCTGACATAAAGAATATAACACAGGTATGACACGGGTATATTTTAAAATATACCTATTGGGGGCTGGGAATGTGGCTCAATGGTAGAGTTCTTGCCTTGCATGCACAAGGCCCTGGGTTTGATCCCCAGCACTACAAAAGATGCATAGCCAATTTCTGGTTAAATAACATATAATTACAGACCAAAACTGTTTATTCCCCAATTTTAAACAATGATTCAACCCTATATAAATAATTCACAAACAAAAACTCTTAATTAAAAATACTTTATGTGCTGGGGATATAGCTCGGTGGCACAGGTGCCTGCTGGCAAGCACAAAGGTCATGAGTTCAATCCCCAGTACCAAAAAACATAAAAATTAAAATTAAAAAAACTTTATGTAATCTTAGCATAAGGATTGTTTACTTCAACATACTGAGGTTTCCTTACCATAAAAGTCTCACTGGCTCATAAGGACCTTTGAAATTTCTCCACACTGCAAATACAAATGTGTGGCCTTCAAAAATGCATTAGAAGCCAGACATCGTGGTATACACCTGTAATCACAGCAGTGAAGGAGGCTGAGTCGGGAGATTCTCAAATTCAAACCCAACCTGGTCAATTTAGGATATTCTGTGTCCAAATAAAAAGTATGTAGCTCAGTAGTAAAGTTCCATTCCCAGTACCACAAAAAAATGCACTTAGAAGGCCTGGGTGGAAGCTCAGAGTGCTTGCCTAGCATGCACAAGGCTCTGGGTTCCATCCCCAGCACCATAAAAAACACATTTAGAAACATCCCTCTCTCACAACTCACCAAAGAGTGATTGGATGTCACCACAAATAGCTTTATTTAATATACATTTATAAATGTGTGCATTGCATTTTAAAAACTACAAGTTAATCTGAATGCAAAAGAATAAAGCTGGACCTTTAACTCATGTCATATATAAAAATGAGCTCAAAATGGATCAAAGACATAAACATGAGAACCAAAACTATAAAACTCTTCAAAGAAAACAGAGGAGTAAATTGTTGTGACCTTGAAATGGCAACGATTTCTTAGATATAAAACTGAAAGCACAAGAAACCAAAGAAAAAATAGATAAAATGGATTTCTGAAAATTTCAACTCTTATGCCTCAAAACAACTATCAAAAAAGTACAACGACAACTCACAGAATTAAATAAACTATTTGCAAATCACCTATCTCATCAGGGGCTAGTATCTAGAATATAGACTTTAAAAAACTTTCTTACAATTCCTCCATACATGTCATCCCAGCACTCAACGAGGTTAAGGCAGGAAGATTGCCATGAGTTTGAGGCCAGCCTGGGGTACACGGTGAGACCCTATCTAAAAAAAAGAAAACAAAAAAACCCTTTCAAATCAATAAAAACAATCAAATTAAAAATTAGCAAATTAAATAGACATTTCTCCAACGAAGAAACACAAATAGTTAACAAGCACAACAGAGGAAGTCCAATGAGATTATTCATGAGGAAAATGTAAACTAAAAACTCAGTGATACCACTTAACACCCACCAGGATTCTCATTTTTTTAAAAAAAGAAAGCAACAAGTGTTGATGAGGAGATGGAGAAACTACAATCGTCATACATTGCTAGTGGAAATGCAAAACTGGACAGCTACTATAAAAAAGTTTGGTAGATTCTCAACAAGTTAAACATATGAGTACTATATGACTCAGAAATTCCACTTCTAGGTATCCAAAATAATTGAACCAATACACAAACAAAAACTTTTACATGAGTATTCATAGTAGCACTACTCACAGAAGTTTAAAGACATAAATGCCCCCAGTACATCTACGAACTGATGAACAAAATTTGGCATACCAATACAATGGAACATTACTCCACTAGAAAAGGGAATCAGTCACATCCCAGTATATGTATATGTCTCGACAAAACCATGCTAAGTGAAAGACCCCAGATATAATAATTCATCTATACCTTATATCCACTTATAAAATATCCAGAAAAGGCAAATCCATAAGAGACAGAGGAGGCTGAAGGGAAGGGAAAATGAGGAAAGTCTGCTTACTGGGTATATAACTTCCCTTGCAGTTATGAAAGCATTTTGACACTAGACAGTGGGGCTAACTGCACAATGCCATAGTTACTTAATGCTACTGAAATGTATACTTTGAAACAGTTCAAATAGTAAATTTGTTATGGAATTTTATCATGAGGTTTTTTTTTTGTTTGTTTTGTTATTGCTTTTAGAGATGTGACCTTACTATGTAATCCAGTCTAGTTTCTAATTCACGGTCCTCCTTCCTCAAACTCTCCAGTACAGGGATTACAAGCATGCATCAACACATCTGGTTTTTCATAAATTTCTAAGTTACCATACTAAAGCATGAAAACAATGTACTTCATTTCAAGTTAGTTTAGTTGGGGGGCAGTGTTGATTTTTGTTTGTTTGTTTGAGTTGGTATCTCACTATACAGTCCAGGTTACTCATGAACTCTTGGAAATCCTCCTGCCCCAACATCCAGAGTGCTGGGATATAGCCATATGCCATCCTGCCTGGCCTATTAAGATTTTTTTCAAAAAGAGATGGAGGGGCTGGAGATGTAGCTCAGTGGCAGAGCATCTGTATTCTATGACTTGAGACCATGTTCAAATCTCAGAATTGTAAAAGAGAAGAAAAAAAATAGAAAGTTTAGGGGCCAGGAATTTAGCAGCATAAATGCCTGTCTAGCAAGCTTGAGGTCATGAGTACAATCCCCAGTACCAAAAAAAAATCGTAAGTTTAGGGCCTTCCCACTGAGCTACATCTCCACCACCTCCATCCTTTTAAAGGCATGGATTCACTAAATTGCCCCAGAAGGACTCCAATTTGCAATTCTCCTATCTGAGTCTTCTAAAACAGTGGGATTACAGACATGTATCATCACACCCAGCTTTAATTCCACTTTTGAGATTTAGGGAATTTCTAAATAAATGCCATTATTGATGTTCTTTAGTCATCAAATATCTCTTAACAGTATCAAAAATTTTGTATCTCAAACAAAAATGGAAAAGACACACTCCTTTAAAAGAATTCTGAGCCTGGGGTGATGAAACAAGCCTGTAATCCTAGCATTCTCATGGGTTGAGGCAGGAGGATCACAAGTTTGAGCCCAGATTAGGCAATTTAGTGATTTAACAAGAACCTGTCTCAAAATAAAAGTATTTTTAAAAATGGCTGAGGATGAAGGTCAGTGTGAAGGCCCAGAGTTCAATCCCCTAAGAAAGAACGAAAGAAAAGAAAAGAAAGATGAATTCTGGCTTTTAGTCAAGAGACACGATCACATATACCTACAAGTAGAGCTGGTCTGCTTATATTAAGATAATACAGAAAGGAAGGGTATTGGTATTTTTTTCTTACACATCATCCCTCTTCCTACATTAACATAAAAATTAAAGCCCTCTGAGACTATTTTTAATTCAATTACATGACTACAAATCCTTTAGTAATATATAGTTGCCATTTTATTTATTTCTACTATGGTTTTTTGCACTATTGACTTTACTATTTTACTTGCTAAGCAATGGACAACTTAGTGAAAACAGAAACTCCTCTACTTTACAGAAGAAAGTTTAGTCAACACTACAGAAATCTAACTTCTGAAACATTACAGAGTAATACCAACAAATGCAGGCTTTTGATACGAAGATTAACATTGGTCTAGAAGTCAGAACTCCAAGATCTACCACTTACTAGGGCATCTTGTTTTTCTGAGCTTCACTTTCTCTTTCAACAATAAGGAGGAAAATACCTTTCCTGCCTGCCTCCCAACTGAAGTCCAGTAAATAACATTGTATGCCAAGTGTGGGAACTCTAAAGAAGGGCACCTCATTTAGCTTAGAGGATCATGCCAGCCAAATGAAGAAAGGGGAAGCAAGAAAGATTTTCAAGAATTTTAGAGCCAGGCATGATGGCACGTGCCTGCTGCACTCAGGAGGCTAAGGCAGGAAGATTGCTGAGTTCAAGAACAGCCTGAGCTGCACAATGCATTCAAAGCCAGCCTGGACTATGCAGGGAGATGCTGTCTTCAGAAAAAAAGAAAAAGGAAACAAAGAAAGAAAAAAGCAAGGAAGAAAGAAAAGAAAAGGAATTTTTGAAGGCAGAACTAAGTCTAGTCCTTCACCTCAGCCTTAAAATGCCAGCCTTATCTCACTCCACTTTTTCTAGCCTCATCTAGTTGCAAACAAGGAGATTATGTTGCCTGGTAAAGATGCTACAAGTAACTTTTCTCTCGTTCCCTCTCTGTCTCTGTTTCTTTCTTTCTCTCTCTCTATATATATATATATATATATATACACCCCCACACACACCCCAAATATTCACCTCAATCTGACAAACTATGAACATGTTACTAACTTCTGTATTCAAACTATGGGTAACTAGAAAAAGGTTACATTCTTTCCAATATCAAAACAGAATACATGAAATGTTTGTAAATCTGCAACATTTCCAAGAGAACTCAGTACATGTCAGTAAATTTTGCAAAAAAATCATAAAGTTATAAATCCAATGATAAATCTTGACCCAGAACAGAATGAAACCATCACAATACATCCTTAATAGAAATGATGTATTCAGAGAACAAAATGTCTAAGTAATTTGTTGTAATTTAAACTCACACCAAAACGCAAGTGCCAATTTTCAAACAAGACAAATTTAAAAGAACCAAAATATCATGTATAATTATTTAAGCAATCAAAATCAGCTTTAGTACATTTTAGCTGTACTTTAATGCAAGGTGTCATTCCTTTGGATTCTCGAGTTAAACAGTTTTTAAATTCACCAATCCAAAGGACAGAGATTTCGAGAAGACACCTGCGGCTCTGTGTCACATACTAACACCTCGTCAAAGGTTCTCCTGAAACTTACTACAGATGAAAAACAGGTAAAAAGAGCCTCCAAAAATAGTATGTAATCATTACTAATCAGATTTTCACCATTCAAACGCTGTTCATATAATTGCCTCAGCAGTAACTCTTAAAAAGGAATAAGCCATACTACTTGCATCTGTTTTGAGGTTCAGCCTCATTTTAACATCTTTCAACTCCTGAGACACAAAGATACACACGTACAGGACTTCCACCAACACCCCACAAGTTTCACCACTTTCTAGTCAAACAAAACCTCTTTCCATACAACGAAGCCACCTCACTTTTATCCGAGCCCTCCTTGCCATCCCCAACATGTCGCACAACACACACCAGCCCTCCCCAAATAGTGTCTCTCAATTTCCTCTTTAAGCCTAACACACTGACAAAACCAAACTGCAATATTCCTAATTCCAATCCAGTCAACACACGCGTTACACACACACACATCATCTGAACCTAAAAATTAAACTCACTCTTTCCCCACCCAATTTCCATCAATACAAACACTGAAACCTTACTCAACTTCCCACATTCGAAGCGCTCTTCTGTTTCAGTAGCCTCAATTTCACTTAAATGATTATTCAGTCCTTTGTCAACTGTCTCCTGGTTTTCCTCTTGTGTCCTCCTTGCCTTCCCTGACCCCTGGTCTTCCATCTGCTCCCAAAGTTGTTAGCCCCCCAAACAAAAAAGAAAAGGAAAATGCATCTCAACCTCAAATCTACCGTTCCCCACTTTTTGCCTTTTTCTCTCGGCCTAATTCGTCACTCGGACAGCAGCTCCGACAACCCCAAAGATCCCACTCCAGACTCCTCCAGTATCTACCAGTGAAGGCACTCACCCGGCCTGGGTCAGGCCAGCCCACACTAGGACACTTACTCTTGGCCCTTGGCCGCCGCAGTCTCCCTCCATTCATCCCTGGCCCATTCATCTCCTAGCCCAAACCCAGACACGCCCCCCCCCCGGCCTCCTCTCTCTCCCAGCGTCCCAACCCGCCCGGGACCCTCACCAGGACAGGCTGACTTTTTGCTTCTTCCTCGCCCTCTCTCAAGCCTCCTCCAGCCCCCCGATGAGTCACACCGTAGAACAGACACACACACAAACACACCACCTCCTCTATCGCCTCTTGCGATGCTTCTTACTCCCCTCCTCGACGTCTCGGTTCAGCTGCGTGTCGCATGCGTGTGTGTGTACGCGCGCGCGCGCGCGAGCGTGTACCCGCGAGCCCACCGGGCCAGCTAAGGCCGGTAAGGTAAAGAGCGGGCGGGGTTGGAGGAGCGGGGTAGGTGCCCAAGCTCGCGCTCTAAAGGAGCTGACAAAGCGCACGCGTACTCCAGCCAGGGAATTCACTGGTAGAAGAGAGGAGTGGAGGGGGGCGGGGACGGGAGGAGAGAAAAGAAGAGGGGGAGGGGCAGGGAACGCCAACGGAGCAGCTCTTAACTCTGAGCAGCTCCTATCGCAACGACGTGCTGAGTAGTTAGCCAACTAGCTTGGGCACGCCTCCTCCGCCTTCCTAAAGGCAGCAGAAGAGAAGGATGCGCGTCGAAGAGAAAGGCTTCTCCTCTCCTAAAGGAAAGTTTCAGTCAGGAGCTAAGCGTGACATGCCCCGTGTACTCCGAATCTCTCGTTCTTTTCAAGGCCTCTTTGCCCTCTCCCTCAAAAAAAAAAAGTCCTAGCCACCTCGCGCCCACTCTCAATTCTTGGCAAGCCATTCAGTGCGGTAGCTCTGTGGAGATGTGGTACCCACCAGCACCTTCTCACCCGCCACCCCGGCTCCCTTTAATTCCCGGTTTTTCTCGCGAGACTACTATCTGCCGGCTTTGGGAATAAAAGTCGAAGCACAGATTTACAAATACTGGTCTCTCAGTTACGTTGTGAGGGCAACGACCACTGCATGTCCCCTCTACACACACCAGGACTGCAATTCGCGCGCGCGGGGGCTGGGCAACAACGAAAGCAGAGATGGGAAAGGAAAGCTATGAAACGGAATTTTGAAGGCATGTAACCGCTAGGCCCGGGCACGTGCCCTGCGCCTCACAGGCGAGTGCGATGTATCCTGGGAATTGTAGTTTTTGTTTTCACCTTCAGTCTCAGTTCCACTCTCAAGGGATACTTAGGCCTCCGACCGGGAGGAGGATTACTGACGCCATTTTGCAGGGAACAATGCCCCTCGGCCCTGGGCGATGGCGGGTGGGGGAGGCAACAGTGTTTTAAGGGTTCAGTTAACCTCCCTTGGCCCCTCGGTGCCATAGCAACCACTTCAGAAACCTGGCCCCGCCCCCTCACTTCTCCGTTGGGTTCCTGGACTGTGCCCTCGTCAAAAGGCCATCTTCCCCTGTAGCTGGCTTTCTCAGTCTCCTACTATCTACCTGAAAAACTTCCAGGTCCTTTTGCGGGTAATGAATGCTGTCTTCATTGAGCTTTCACTACGTGGTAGCCTCAGCTGAATGGTTTAATTTAAAAACCACTTCCTGTGCTCTATAAGATGCAGTGCAGAATTGTTTCTGTAATTCTCACTGCATTGATTATGGTTTAACAGAGAAGGAAACTGAGCTTAGGAGAGGAAGTGAACATGACTTACTCAAGTTCACACAACTATGTATGGAGAAATTAAAACCTAAGCCCAGGTGCTCTTTGTGCAGAGCTCAAGCATATTTCAGTCCCACAGGATACATCTGGTGTCATAGTACCTAAACTCCTAAAGGGCAAGATTTCTTTTCCAAACCCCTCAGTGCTTAGCAGGATCCCTTGAGGGTAGAAGGCTGTATGGAAAATACCAGGCTACTCTTTTTCAATAGCCCAGCGTCAGGGGCCTATCACTGGGTTATATCTATCTCCTTCCTGTACAGCACCTCTTTTTCTTTTGGTTGTGCTTGCCCATAATCCCAAAATTCAGGAGGCTAAAATGGGAGGATCTGCAAACGTTTGCCAGTCTGAGCCACACAGTGAGTTCAAAACTAGCCTGAACTACATACCAAGACCCTAACTCAAAAAAACAGCAACAGTCCACTGAACATTAACTACAGCCTATAAGGTCCAAATGGAATGAAAAGATAGGAGGCCTTTTGATCCCAAGTACTCCCCCATACACACACACACACACACACACACACACACACACAAAGATAGGAGGTTTGGTAGACTTGTCTTTTGTTGCTGTTTTTGCCTCTTGAAAAGAATCACTTATTAACCCCAATGTTGCTGGAACATGTAAGAAAGTCAGACCATGCTCTTAATAAACCCAAACCCATGTCTTACAGTTTTGACAAGGGACAGGTTGAGATTCAGCCACTCCACCTGTGGAGGTCTTCCTTCCTTGCAAATTTGAAAGAATAGGGGAAGTGATTTTTCTGAATTATACCAGCACTGTACCTTGAGTGTCTGTGCTTCCCATTAGCTAAAGAATGAATGGGGTTTCCCACATTCCTTCTTTCCTCACTTTCCTGAAGACAGTCTTTTCCTCTATTGAATTAGACTAGTGTGGGGAAGCTATTTGGAAGAGCAGCCAAACTACCATGAAGGGTCAGTTTCAAAGATTAATAAAAATTTATTCCAAATCTTTGTAGGTCTTTGTAGGTACCATATGAGATGGTACCTAGAAACTTGTGACCATGGTTTCTATTTCTTTTTTTTTTTTTTTTTTATTTAAGGAGAAAACAAAAGAAAGAAAAAAAAACAGTGAAGGGGTACAAGTTATACAGATTTACAGAAGAAAAAAAATGCGCAGTAGGAAGTCACTAGTTAATGGATTACATATTGTCATCTTAGAAATAATTATTCCAGTCACAAAATTAAAGCTTGTAGAGTGGACATTCCAACAATGATACTACAAACAGTTCTGTTCAATGATCCAATAAAACTCTGTGATATCATTTTCTATCTTATACATTTAAATATACATGCAGTTATATAGTTTAGAGCACTTTCTTTTCCTCTCTTTTGTACAGTGACTATTACACATTTTGGGTTTCATTGCTCCCACGGTTCTTGTTGCTTTTTTGGAAGAGAGTAAAACCAAATGTGACATAACAGAGCAGAATCAGTCAAGTCAAAAGGGTGGACATAATAGATAATATAAAAACATAATACAAGGTGATCAACAATGGTTACCATAATGCCTCCCGCTATTTCTAATAGAATTGCCTATATCATTAGTTGTAATACAATTGAACAAAACCGTAAAGAATAAAACTGACAAAACCAAAACATTGGAGATATTGTAGGTCTTCAAAAGTAGATAAAAGTCAATGAGAATGGGCGTTATAATGAATCTCATTATCTTCTCAGCTGATGCCTAAACTTTCGAACCTGATACTATCCAGCAAAACAGAATAGAGGAACCTCAGTCAAAAACAAGATGGTGAGAGTAACACAGGGCTTCAAATCGAGATAATAGAAAGTCAAAGTGGGTTACTATATTATATCCTGCTATATTTTTCCCTTTAATTAAATGGATAAAAATAAAAAAGTAAATAATGGAGTGGAGATTGAGAAAAAAGAGGGCATAACAGCGAAACAGGGCAGATCAAAACATAACCATTTAAGCAGAATAGTGTTTCACCACCAGATAATCCTGACCCAAAAATAGTTACCATATTGACTCCCTCCCTGAAGTCCTTGAGTACAACTTCATATACTGTAGCATTAAGTATATCAAAACAATGTAAATCCATTTAAGAGAATGACAGCATTATAGAGTATTTAGAATCGACTAACAGAAAATGAACAATGGTCTCTGTATAATCTCCTTGTCTTTAAAAGGTTTTTTCTTATACTATCGTACATAACAAAATCCAATAAGATACAACCTGTTTAGACCATTGGAGACAGAAGAACAAAAGCTAGATGAGACTTCAAAACAAGATGGTATTAAATCAGCATTACCTATTAAGATGTCATTTTCTCCAAAAAAAGCTGTTCCTATCATCCAATCTTCTCTGTCTCATTTCTGTTGAGCTCTTTTTCTGTCAGTAGCTGTCAGTTTGTCTTCTTCATTTTGTTCTCTGCTCCATTCGTTGTGGCTTCCCCGCCCCTATTTCTGGGTTCTTTGTATTTTTCTTTTTTTAGAATATCCTGCAATACTTTCTGTAGGGTTGAGTTGGTGGTTGCAAATTCCCCCAGTTCCTCTTTATCCTGGAAGCACCACGTTTTTCCATCAATTTCCAGGGACAGTTGTGCAGGATATCTCAATCTTGGCTGTAGATTATTATCTTTCAAAGCTTGAATTATTTCTCCCCATGCTCTTCGTGATTTGATGGTTTGTGAAGAGAAATCTGCTGTAATTCTGATGGGTCTCCCCTTGTAAGTGATCTGTTTCTTGTCTCTTACAGCTTTTAATATTCTGTTCTTGTATTGAATTTCTGGAATTTTTATTATTATATGCCTGGGTGTTTCTCTGTTAGGGTTGTAGGTAGCTGGGGTCCTGTATGCCTCATACATTTGAGTATCTTTACCTTTTGCTAAATTAGGAAAATTCTCCTGGATTATTTCTGTGAGTAGCTTTTGTAGTTCACTTGTTTGTGTCCCTACTTCTTCTTTTATGTTCTTAATCCTTAAGTTATGGCTCCTCTTATCATCTTCTTGTCTTTGTATTATTGCTGTGTGTTTCTTTGTTATTTTTAAGAAGTTTTTCATTTCATTCTCCCATGTTTCAAGTCTGCCCTCCAATTCAGATAGTCTGTCCTTAGTTTCTTTCAAGCTGTTATGCCAGTCTTGGGTAGACTTCTTAATTTCTTGATAGTCTCTTTGCACCTGCTTCAGATACTCAATGCTTTCTCTGTTTTCTCCATCAAGCAATTCTCCCCTCTTTTTCTGTTCTTCCATTCCACCATCTGCTTTTTCCTGGGTGGTGCTTAGCATTTCTCTAACTATTCTGCATACTTCTAGCTTCAGGTCATTGATAACTTCATTCCTGAATTGGTCTATGAGGCTCTCTAAATGGCGCTTAATGTATATTGGTGCAGTGTCCAGTATTGCCTGATTCTCAGGATTGGGGGTCGAGGAGCCTTTTTTTTGCTTCCCTTCCCCATATTTTCTGTTCCTTATAAAATGTAATCTTACACAGGAGGCCCGGCTTCCCTGCCTGTCAGCCACAGCTTGATCAAATTGCGCTGGTTAGTTGTTCCCGCTCACCGCTGCGCCCCAGGGAGTTGCGGAGGAGGCAGCCTACGCGGGAGTCGGTCTCTCCTCCGGGCCACCGTCAGGCTCTGGGATCTGGGCTAGGCCAGCCTAGGGGGTCCGCGAGCAGCGTCCCTCCGGCCAGGCACCTTTCACCAATCCCGTCCGAGAGGGAAACGTGCGGCTGCAGTGCCACCGCGCCCTGCTCTTACAGGACTGCCCGTGCCCAGAAAAACCTCCTCTGGAGTCAAACTGCGGTAGGGAGTCAGTTCCTCGCTCACCTCGCCACCAGTCAGCCTTCCTCCCTGACCGTCGCGTCTCCGACTCCGTTCGCGAACTCCCGTTCCCAGAGCTCGGTGGGCGCGTCTCTCCTTGCCGAGCCGCTATGAAGGCGCCGGCCGCCGGGCGGGGCGGGAAATCTAAACCGCGGTTTCCAATGGCGCGGAGTCGAGCCTCCACACCGAGATTTTTCTGTTCCTATTTTAGCGCCAGGACTGTATTCCAAGTTGGATTCTCTCAGCCCAGTTCGTTCCTGAGTCAGCAGAGC